TGTGTTAGATTTGGGGGGGGGGAGAGGGGATGGATAAAGGCACTTTGTTTTGAAGAGCAACTGCATTTTTGTTGAGAAAAACAAAAACCAATCACCCCTGGGTGTACATTGCAAGTATTTTATCAGACTTTGTTGCAGATTCCTACCGGTTTCTGTTCTGAGGAAATAGCAGTTTGTTTCACCATGTCCATTTGTTATAACCAGGCGGTGGACTTTCTGTGTTCTAATGAGGAAAGCTGCAGTGTCTGCATCTTAGTGCAGCTGTCTGTCAAAATCAGTAAGCCAATCACAAGTAGGTAATAACATTTCTGGGGGCGTTCTGTACATCAACTGTGTACATGTGAACAGAACGCCTCTAGGTCGCCATATTGCATGGAATTTTTTTTTTGTGACAGATTGAGAAAATGACAGTGGCTGCAGTTTTAAATAGAAAGCGAATTTTAACAACATTAAATCACAAAATGGCTTGTATAGCAATTATATATGCTCTTATTTTTCTTGTTTTACATTTTTTCATTCTTATTTTTTTAAATGGAGTTGTTCTCTAAAGTGCACTTCTTCTTTAACACGTATTCTTTCATGCATTGGCTTCCAGTGCACAGAAACAGACATGCAGTCATTTTCCGCTGCATTGCACCACAAGGCACAAGGGAGCGTAAGCGCATTGGATCTGCATTCCCTTAGTTTGTTGAGGTGCTATTCAAAATGAATGGCACAGCAACGCACGGCACGTAATATTCATTGCTGCAAAGTCGATGATCTAAAAAGGTGTGTTTTGGCTCTAAAAGTATGTATGGCCTTTTTGGGGGGGGGGATAAAGTGTTAAAACCCATGTCATGTTATTTTTTACTGTCAGCGTACAGTTAAAATTTCTATTCCCATTCGGCCCAATGATACATGAGGAAGTTGGAGTAGATCTCTTAAAGTGAGGGGGGTTCCCTGCGTAGACAGCTGTCCCATGAACAAGTGTAACCATTGGAAGATTTCCCCTCATCTCTTAAGCCGGGTATATACGCTTCAAATTTCAGCTGGTTCTTGATGAAGAACCAACCGCGGGTGCCGCTGCTCCCACGTTTCTATATCTGTTCAGCCAGCAGGTTGAAAGAAGAATTAGAAAAGTGTATACCCAACTTTACTCTGGTGAAAAATGTAAGATTTACCAGTATCAGTAAAAGAGTGAATCTACCCTATCCGGACACAGACAGCACTAAAAAAGCATCCACATTTGTAAAATCATTCATACTCCTGCATTCAGCTCTGTAAAAAACGATATACTGTACACATCTGACGGGCGGGTTTTTTACATCTGTGTACATGAAACCTTAGGTCGCATTCACACCAGGGTGTATCATGAGTCAAATGTGCATGCTTCAACACACATTCATGATACATGCACACGCGCAGAACGAATTTGCATTTCCATAAATAGGTAATGGCACCCCATATGTGGCCAATTAAATGCCAAATTTGTGATATGTACTTCTTTTCCGCGGATGACGTGCGTCAGGGACCCAAGGGGGGTAAACGGGGATGTGCAGGAAACAAAGTCCCACAAATGTGAGAACATGCATCCGATACCGCCCAATATTAATGAATCCTTACTGTGTATCTGCAATGAACTTGTATAAGAGATAAGACCAGCTCTAATATCACTTCAATTCTATTTTACGGAACTGTCCTTACAAAAAAACATGTAGTCTGCAACCCCCCAATTTCCAGGGGAAGGGTAAGATTTTTTTGAACAGTTTAGAACATTCATTATTTGATACCTCTCTGTTCATAGAACAGCTTATTTTTCATCCTTAACATATGTAACAGTGGTTTTAAATAATAAAGAACATAAAAGTTGCCACGAATATTATTTCTCCGTTATAAATACCTAGTGAACACTGTACCAAGCTTCTCCAGCCTGCTTCCTGCCATGCTGCAACCATGGAGCCTTCTGCTCTCTGTCAAACAGCTCGGCTATCAGGCAGCGCAGCAAAACCGACAGAAAGCGCTGGAAGACATCTTTATTCCTGGAAAGTACCGACTGATATAAAAAAAATAGATCAAATGTACAACGCTAGAGACAAAAAAACTAAATCCGAGAAGCTTTAACCATACTAATTTTGCACATAATTTAAACCATGCCGGGTTAGACTTGAAACACAATAAAAAGTTGTTGCCCGATTCCAATAAACAAGATGGAGAAAATGCATACGCCCACCTTAGTGCAAAAGGAGGCATATTAATCGATCATCGAGCGCATGGCTCGATGAGGTTGTAGGGGACTTGTTACGCGGTGCCCTTCAGAGACGTGCCATGTGACCTACAGTTGGGGTTTTTTTTTTTTTGTTTGTTTTATTTCAGCGAAATCATGGTCTGGCTTCGTGTAAACACATCTTTCAAATGCCGTGAATGTTGTAGTATTACTGTAACTCTCACAATTTGTTTTGGTCTTCAGGAACATGGCTCCGAGCATTAGACTCATAGCTCACAAGTGCGAGTGTTTGGTTTGCCGTCATTGGCACGTTCCAGTCTCTTTAGCCAATAGGAAAATGGTAGGCGTTACCTAGCAAGTTTGAATCGTGCAGGCGGGTTGTATCCCGAACTTAGTAAAGGAGCTACCCGCAATTGTCAAGGTAACGTAGCGTGCAATGTCTCACTGCTTCCCTTGCGGTCGCTATGGGGCCTGGGGCAGAGGGGGCACGATCAGGAACGAAGTTGTACCTTGGTGTCCATCCGCGCTCCTGGCTGTTCTGTTCCTTGCTCGGTGTATTGTGCCCGGGTCTGCCCCCTGTCAGTGCCAGGCAAGTGCAGGACGCAGAGTTATCTACTCCTGACAGTGGGCCTGAGAGTAAGACTCTGATGCAGAGCCAGCAGCAGGCGCGGAGTAGAGAACAGAGGTACCGGTGTTGGTAACCGCTCCTCCCTACAGCAGCATCTGAATCTCCATAGCCACCCTCTATCTTGCCTCAGTGCGGATTCTGAGCTCTATGGAATTTATATGCCCAGAAACTGAGAAACCTCTATACACATGTCTAGGAAGGTTCTCATTCACAGATAAATAAAAATATGTTTATTTTAGCAGCCAGTATAAGAAAGACGAGGGATGTGACAGACGGGGAGAGTTCAGCGATCACATCGCATACAACCGACTGTCATCTCTATCTAACATAAAGGGCTTGTTCACACCAAATGCAGACCAGATCTGGATGAGTTTCTGCAGTGTGCAGTCTGCAGTGTGTTATGCCGTGTTTTTAATGCGTTCCGGGCTGTTTTTGTAAAAAAATTTGAATGACATTTATTCCGTCATGCAACACTATACTGAAATTAATTTTATACCATTTTTCTGGGGACGGATAGAGTTTTCTTTTGGTGATATCTAATCACCACTGGGGGTTTTATGTTTTACTATATTCAGGCTTTTACCGCTCATCAGTTCAGTGTTATCAGTGATGAATGGCCCTAGAATTATTGCTCTCACTCTGACGTTCACGGCGATATGTAACATGTGTACCGCAATTGTCGCTGGCGCACCCAACGCGTATTTACGTTTATATATGCGTATTCGTGGGGGACGTTTTTTTACATTTCTTTATATGTGACTTTTATTTATTTTATTTTTTTTACACTTAACGTTATTGCTATCACATACGGGGATAACAATCCCCCTATATAATAGCAAAGGCACAATGACAGGTCCTCTTTATGGAGTCTGCAGGGATTACACACCGGTATAATTTTTTCCAGCTCCGTAGGATTTTTGCCACTTAAAGCACTTTCACCCATCAGCAGCCACAACAGATGTCCCAGTGTTCAGCAGAATGGTCAGTGTCACAAAATATTTGCTGCCAAATTTGCTTGCGGTTTATATTGGTATTCTCTGCCTATCTAACAACTGAAGCTGTGCTCACTAGCCTGGCAGCATGTTCTTCAAATGTAATGTGCTGTCGGGTTTAGGGACATGTTTTAGCCCGCTGTTGGTAAGATTATTTGTTTACTTTAGTCTCAAGAAGGAATGAAACACTCGCATCTACCCAAACTGATAAAACAGGGACCATTTAGGTTAACAACTGAATAATTAGGAAGCATGTTTCAGGCAATCGGAGTAGACATTTATGGTACGCTAACAATGAAGCTGCTTGTATCTTCCCTATGAAGGTATTGACTTTCTGAAAATTGGAATCTGTGACAGACGGGAGAATTTATGAAAACTGGGACCGAATATGGAGCAGTTGCCCGGCGTAAACAATCGGCTTCTTTCTTCAGTTTGTTCAGGTAAGCTTTGAAAATGAAAACAGCTAATTGGTTACTACGGGCAACTGCTCCAGATTCTGTCTGCTGCAGTTTTGATAAATTCCCCTCAATGTATCTTCCACATGGAAACACTTGGCCCTGATGATTGGCAACACAGGCACCAATTGAAAACTAAGCTTTGACATGTTTACTGGAAACGCAGCCTACAGCATCGGGTTTTTATCAAGGCGTAGACGTTCTTAAGATTATCTAAAGCCAAAACGTTTTTTTTATTTTGGATAGAGTGGGGAATGGGTAAAACCCCATGTCAGTTTTTTTTTTCTTTGCTTTCCGTGTTCTGTTTGAAAGATTTGACTTCCTGAGACAAGAGGAAGTGAGGAGAAAGCTCTCCAAAGTAAGGTACATCTTCATTTCTATGGGGGGGTCTCTAAAGAACGTGCTTGTATTCTATACTCACTCTGGAAATGAATAAACCGCAGAGCATATGTGCTGGCCTGGCTGTGAAGAATTTGACAAGCTGGTGTGCAGCCTCATCATATCCTGCTGGATAAGGGTCAGGTGAGGTGGACCTCCCGCCTGGACTTCAATATAGTTTGTGCCTCTAAATAGAAATTCCAACAAGGTAAATGTGACCTTTCATAATGACTAGTGCCAGTAGTAAAATTGTTTGCTGCTGTCCCTGAAAAATATAAGAAGGTTATTCTTGGTTCCACCTGTGTGCAAGTACTCAAAGCTGGCATTTGGTGAACTGAACATGTTATGTGCTTTTAGAGATATACAGGCAGTCCCTGGGTTACGGACGTCCGACTTACGGACAATCCGTACGTACGAACGAGGTCCACAGTACTCCTAAATGCACCAGCAGCCACCTGTACATTTAGGAGAACTGTGGCTGCAGCGGCCTGTGTCCCTTCAAATCCCCGCTGCTCTCCCTGCCTATGTTGGCAGTTTAGAAAAATAAAATTAAAAAGACAAACAAAATTAAAAAAAAAGTTCAATAAATAAAAATAAAAAATGCAAACAAATGAACAAAAATAAAGTTTTATAAAATTTAAAAATAGGAAAAAACTTTTTTTGGTGTGTCATTTTAAATAAAAAGACATGTTTTATTATATTCTTCTGAACAACAGGAACAGACAGCAAAACAAATGTGACCCTTCCCTATGCTATCCAAAACTAAAAAAATGTTTTTTTTGGCTGGAGTTACACTTAAAAAATTTACCTGTTCCGACTTGCATACAAATTCAGCTTAAGTACACACCTAAAGTCCCTAACTTGTATGTAACCTGGGGACTGCCTGTACTTGCATAACAAACTGTGTTTAAATTTCAGGCTTCTGTGAAATGAGCTCAGGACGAAATAAGAGTTTGTTAGAAGGTTTGGCTCAAAGTGAAAAAATGTTTCAAGCGGAAATGAGAAGAATTTATGAGACGGTAGGTGCTTATAATTAATTTTTTTATAATATCGAGTTGAGTGAAAAGGAAAGTACAGGCTCTTTGAATTCTATGGTTTTAAGTATTTAGGACATCATTTAAAAAAATCATCTGCTCCTCAGCACGTCCTAAAATTAGGTAAACACAGCCTCATATGAATAGCAACACATTACATATTACACCGTGTCATTATTTATTTTACAATGTATTTTTATCTGATACTTTAAAACCATAGAATTCAAATAGTGTCCTTTTTTTAAAACATTTTTCACACTACTGTATGTGCCATCATAAAATAGGTTTAAGGGCCCATTCACACCGCATGCCTTGTCTTGCATTGGAGCTGCGCTGGAAGCAATGGCCAACGCTAGACGAGGCAGTTTGCCTTGTCATGGATGGACCATTCACACCACCGTGTTGGGGTGGGAACATGGTGGTGTGTGTGCTTAAGAATGCAATGGTCGATCGGCACTGCTTTGTGCAGTGGCTGGTGTGAATTGGCCCAAATTGTCAACAGTAAACTGGGATACGTGTCAAAGTAGAAAAAAATAGAAAATGCAAAACTGACTTAAAGTGACCTTAAACCTTCTTTTTTTTTTTTGTATATAAGGGAGGTACAGATCGTGTCCAGATCTGTTCTTATTTATTTTTTAAATGTTTCAATTCCTCGTTTTCTAGTGGGTCCCCCCATCACTGTTTCCCCTGCCCCCTAAATGGGTGCTGCCAGCAGGTAAGCGGCTGCTATGGAGGCAACATGCGTGCATGTTCCCGCAGTGACTGTGTGCGTCCATAAACCCACACAGCCCTGTGGCAGGCCCCGCCCCAGAAGGAGGCTACAATCTCCTCCCGTGCAACTAGAAAGTTCGGGACGGAGGATCGATTCGGGGGCCTGCAGTAGTCACATGCAGCACTGACAGGTAAGTGTGGGGGGAGTCCAATAGGTACTAGGCGTTTTTAGCTTAGGACATGTTCACACCATTTTCTGGACCAGATTTGGTGCATTCCAGACCAGACAAAATGAGACATGCAGCATTTTTCTGGTCTGGTCTGGAATGGACTGCGCTGGTCTGAACATAGGCCAGAAATAGCATAGGGATGCATTTTGGGTCCGGAAACAGTCTGGTCTGGTGATTATGTGGTGTGAATGGGCCCATAATGCAGAGAATGCATTATAGTCTATAACTGTCAGTGCTGGACAAAATCCCAGGCAACGGGTAGCCAATGCTCCTTAACAATTACAGCTGGTATCTAACATTTGAGGGTTTTTTCTAGTTATCCTCAATGG